GCTTGCTTTCTTCCTTTTCTGAAGGGTTATTTTTTCAGGCTCATGGAATTTGTGTACATGATCACTCTGTTGAGTTCCGAGCGGGTGACTCAGCTATAGCTGCGGTTGCTTGGATGATCATATTTGGCGATGGATTCCACAACTTCATCGACGGAATCTCGATTGGAGCGTCATTCGCGGAATCGCTACATGCCGGGCTCTCTGTCTCGCTTGCAGTGCTAGCTGAGGAATTCCCGCATGAGCTTGGTAAGCTGTCTAATTGACAAAACTGGTCGATCATTGCCAGAATAAATTTAGGTGATGTTGCTATTCTTGTGGCTTCTGGTATGACTTTACGTCAAGCTCTTCTCTATAACCTGCTTAGTGCGATCACCTGCTATGTCGGTATGTAATAGTCTTTCATATCGAGTATAAGGTATAGCAACAATCACAGCAAAACTATTTCGTTTTTCCGGTTAATTTTTCTAGTGTTCTGTATGATAAAGCAATCAACAGTACTTACCGCAAAAATTGCGAAAAGGGCCACTTTACACCTTTAACATGATTATTTAATTTACATCACATTTGCGATAAATCATACTTCTTCAAAAATTTTGCAAGGTTGCAATCTACTCAATAACTAATTTAGTTTGAATTTAATCTGGGTTGGAAAAATGGAGGAAGGAATAGTTACGTTCTTTTTGCAGGATTTTTTATTGGCGTCGGTATTGGCGAACTCGGTCCGGATGTCTCCAAATACGCATTTGCTCTTGCTGGTGGAATGTTCCTTTACATCTCCCTCGGCTGCATGGTATGTTGTTCTTTAAAAGTTGTGGTTTACTCGTTCTTATCTGCTCTATGATATGGTACAACAGAAGTTTTTACATTGTAGATGCCCGAAATGAAAAAAGCAATGGAGGATGCTTTAAACATATCTATGAAGCGCGGTCTTTACGTCCTTTTCCTACAGTCTATTGGTTTGTTCATGGGTCTATTCCTAATGTACTTCATGGCAAGGTATGGCGACGAGATCTCGGTCTAGACAGACCGCATTTCAGTGGCAGTGCGTGAAAGTGACCTCATCATTTATTGTTATTTTATATTTTATATAATAACGGTGCCATAGGATTTGTTTGGTTTGTATTTGCCCGCATTAGACTTTTTGAGTAAAATTTTTCTTA